GCTGAGGAGACAGCATGCCCAGAATTCTCCCACAGTGGATTCTAGACATGAGGAATGACTTCCTGTTGTGTGACACTATCCTGGGGAGACATGAATAAATATTTACTCACCCCACATAGGGAGCCAAGGACAACCCAAAGTGAGGATACCACCAAAATCCAACTTGGTGAGCCAATGAGTTTTATTGGGGTTACTTACAGGAGTATGGTGGAGTGGTTACTTACAGGAGCAGAAATGAGTCACCGACAGCGGCATCACCAAAAGCCCATCCCAGCACGCGTGACATCTCACAAAAGCAGGAAACCTGGAGGGCATTACATAACTTGAGGCAGCTCAACAGGTTGGAGAGTGTCTGTTCCAGGTCACCCAGCTGGTCTGAGCCTCTTCTAGGCATCTCCCCTCACCCGGGAGTCTGGTGGAAGCCTCTCACTGCTGAGAAAAAAAATCCCAATATATAGGGCTAGAGAGATGGCTTAGCAGTTAAGAACACTGGTTGCTCTTCCAGAGGACCCAGGTTTGTTTCCCAGCACCCACATGGTGGTTAGCAACTGTCCTTAAGTCCAGTTCCAGAGGATCCAATGCCCTCTTCTGGCCTCTGTGGGCCATTGCATGTATATGATGCACTTAAATTCACACAGGCAAAATACTGTTACACATAAAATAAAAATTAGTAAAATCTTAAAAAAAAAAGAATTCCAGGATAGTAACTACTTGCTGCCTTCTTCTCTTCCCAGCTGTAAGCCCACATTCTCCAGGACTCTCACCAGAAACTCCCTTTACAGCCAAAGGACATGTGCTAAGCTCCTTGTGCAGTGCTAGCGGCTCCTGGTTTTCTGTGATTATAAAACCAGGTTATAGTTCCATCTGAGGCACCTTTGGAGTCATCCCATAATCTCACTTGTTAAAAGAGAGAGAAAAGGAAAAAAAATCTTAGCAATCCTTTGAGATTTAATGAGACCCACCAAAATTGCATATCTGTCTTTTGCTAAGACACTTGGTTGTGACTTTCCCTTGAAGAGCCCACAGCCCCATGGGGTGGGTCTTAGTCTTTCCCAAAGCATCTCTTTCTCTTAACCGCTATACTTAAAATCTAAGCTCAAAACATCTTTCAGGGACTGGAGAAATGGTTCAGCAGTTAAGAACACTGGCTGTTCTTGTAGAGGACCCAGGCTTGGTTCTCAGCACCCACATGGTGGCTAACACCTGTTTATAACTCCAGTTCCAGGGGATCCGACGTCCTCTTCTGGCCTTTATTGTACTCATGCGGTACACTTACATACATGCAGGCAAAATACTCATACATGTGAAATAAAAGTAAATAACTATCTTTCAATAAACTACTTCTCTTTGAGAAGCCCATACCCATACTGTCAGTGTGCTTTTTAAAACAATTTTATTATTTTTATTTTATGTGTATGTGTGTATTGCCTGCATGTAGGTAAACGTACCCGTGTCGTGCAATGCCCGTGGAGGTCAGAAGAGGTTGTTGGATCCCCTGGGACTGGAGCTACAGACAGTTGTTAGCTGCCATGTGGGTACTGGGATTCGAACCTGGGTCTTCTGTAAGAACAACCAGTGTTCTTAACCGCTGAGCCATCTCTCCAGTCCCTCAGTGTGCTTTTTAATTCTTTTATGGAACACCTTTCTACTTTTAATAAACATTCAACTCTGTTTTCATACTGGCTCATCCTGCATCAAAACTAATAATCTAGTAGAATTGAGGTCTTTAAAGATGAAGGAATCTCCCCAGGCAGCTGAAGGCAACAGCGAGGAGCTGTTCCCTTCCTCATCAGTGCTGAGAGCAGGAAGTGAGGGCCGTGGGCCTTACGGGACTCCTTGCTCACTTATTTGGGGAGCAGGTGTTGTCACTGAACCTTCCTGTCAGGGCAGCGAGGTGGGACAGAAGGAGGCTAGTCTCACACTATGTAGTCTCAGTCTCTGAGACCATCACCCTCTATCCCCAAGTGTTTAGCTCAATCAGGGGCTGTAGCAGGCACACCTCTCCCTGTCCCCCAGTGCACCTGGCTCCAGCCCTCCTTGGGCCTCATCTGGAGTGTTCATGGATGGCCACAGCCTCCATGGAGACTCAACTGATGCAAGCTGTACTCTCCCAGAAATCCACAGGTCCTCCTCTGTTCCCACTCTGGAGTCCTTCTGTTCTGCCTAGTGAGCAGCAGTTCCCAGGGGAAAAGGAAAAACCAGATAAGGGTGATGGATAAGAATCCCGTGATTGTGGAGAGCTGGACTGTTACAGGACGACCAAATTATCTTGGGCTCTTTAGCCCCCTTCATGGTCATTCATTGCCCTACTGTGTCTGACCATCAGGTGAAACCTTGTGAAATGTATTAACCGACCACTAGCTTCCACCACCCCAAAGGCTAATGATGTCATCAGACAGCTCCTGAGACAGACAACAGAACCTTCCCCACCTTTGTTGTGACTGCCTACTACCAATGCATTTGGCAAATGCCCTGATTCATGACTTTCTTCTGTTCTGTAATTACAAAAACTTCATGAAACTGTCTCTAGTTAGCATACATATTTGAGCCATGGTCACTCATGTTTGGTTCAAGTATAACTCATCTCTTATCCTCTTAGAGTCAAGAACTGTGTTTTGTACCCACAATCCCCTCCACCCACCTCTCTTTCCACCTGGCCCTTAGCTAAAGTTCCAGTGCGAAGACTACTCCAGTCAGCCCTCCCTAGGTTCTGACTCTGGTTTTCTTTGAAGACATCACTGCCTCATCCTCCTGTGTTTACCAAGCCCTCACTTCCAGCTAGCCCCACTCTGAGCCCCCAGTCCAGGCAGACAGCACCTCTGCTGGTTGGGGTGCTGTCTGAGGCCTTTTGCTTCTAGGACTCACACATTTGAATCAGCCCTATCCCCTACCTGTGTGCTCCCCTATGCCATACCTCTGTGTTCCCCTGTGTCTTACCTGTGTGCTCCCCTACTCCCTACCTGTGTGCTCCCATCCGCTGCTGTGCCCAGCTACCCATCACTTTGAGCCTGAGAAGGCCATTGATGCCATGTATCAGTGGAGAGTGCCCAGGCTAGCCTAGCAAGGCTGCTGGCTGAGGGTCCCTTGACTGGGGAAGTACTTAAACTCCAAGGACAGGGGCTGCGCTCTCTGTGGGCCCTGTGTGACTTCTCACTTTGCCCTGGGGTTTGAGTCTTGTGGCCTCAGACTCCAGCTGTCCCTCCTTGCTCATTCAGCTCAGTCTTGTCACTACAGGGAGTGCCTCCCGGAAGCCTCTGTCCTGTGGCCAGCTGGGCAGGTTCATCGCCTCGTGAGTGGAGGGGATCTAGCCTCCTCCTTCAGGAAGATGTGATCCCTGACTGTGACTTGCCTCTGCAGAAGCACCTAGTGGAGGGTTGGACTGTCTTGGTCATGTGCCAAGGATGGATTAGAAGAGTTCTTCCAGGGTAAGTCAGGGAAAGTCTGGCCTCACGAGGGGCCTGAGGAAGAGGCAGCAGCTTCATGGAGTCTATGCCATCAAGTCTGGAGTTGGAGTGCTGTGGACTTTAAGCTGTGGGTTTTGATGAGGCACTGTGGAAGAAGAACACACCCCAACAACAGGCTACACAGCCAGGTCCCATGGCTGCATGCTCTGCACAGCCGGTGTACATGAGAACTGAACCAGCAGGCAGAAGGGGACAGCAGGAGACACACCGCTTCTCACCCAGCACTTAGACTCCATGCAGTCAGCTGGACTCCAGGAAGAGGGGCTCAGCTAGGAGCCTCCAATGGGAAGGGAAAAGGCAGGGTCCAGAAGGATGGTGGTCAAGCACAAGTGGTCCTGGGAGGGCAAGGCTGAGCCTGGATGCACATAGCAGTGCTGCCCTGCAGGGCCCTGGCTTGGAAATGAGTTGAAATCAGGAAGTGAGGGTGGACCTGCTCCTGAGAAGACCTGTAACCACCCCCCTCCCTGCCCCAACACACATACACACTCCCCAGGTGAAGTGGCTTGTGCACAGCCTCCAGCCATCCAGGGCAGTTGACAAAGGAAGGATGCCCATGAAGACACATGGCCCCTAACAGTCATCTGGACCAAACACTCCAGCTGCGGACGAGCTAAATGGTACCCTGTGTCCCACGGGTGCTGTCCCCAAGCTTGGGACAGGTACACACTAGCTGGACCACAGCCCTGGGGTGGTGAGACTTGGCCTGCAGGCAGATGTGCTGTCCTGCTGCAGGGAACAGAAGGGCAGTTGGAGCACTGGGAGCTTCAGGGGAGGCCAAGCCCAGCTCCAGGCCGTCCATCCATCTTCCTGTGGTGCTGGCCCTGGGCTTCCCATTCCTCAGCCCTGGAGTCTACTCAGGAGGCTCCAGGTGTGGCAGGCAGGAGCTGAGAGAGGGGTGCAGACACACAGTCCTTCAGGAGGGCCCTGTGAGGTAGGAGGGCCCTGCAGGTGACCAAACCAAAGCCTAAGGAACTTCCTGGAGCAGCTCCAGGCAGAGGCTCAGAGCGGTGGCAACAGTCAGGGGAGTCAGGGCACTGAGCTGTTTGGTCCACAAACAGCTCCCCTCCCTAGGGGAGGGTCTGCACAGAGGCCTGGGGTAGGAGGCCTGGGGTGGGAGGCCCAAAAGGCCTCACTTCCTGCCTCTGTTCAAGACCTGGGGTCAGCTGTGGCGCCAGGATCCACCTCCAGCCCAGACTGGACAGTCCTGTGCTGCCTTGAGCTGCCCACAAATCAGGATTTTCAGACAGAATCAGCAGGGACTTGGAGATCCACTTCCCAGAGCCTCTGTTGGGAGATGGGGAAGTTGAGCACCCGGGCAGGTCGCCCTCTGGAGGGGGCGGGACTCCTGGCGGGGTAGGGGGTAGGTTGAGCTTTTATCTGCCTCTCCTCTGCCTCCTCCTCCCCCGCATCCTTTCTCCAGTTTCTGGCTCTCACGGTTGTAACCCGACTCCGGAGCCCGGCTTCTGCGCACCCCCCCCCCCAGCTTCCCCGGCCCAGCAGCGTGGCTCGAGTGCCACATCACGCCGTGCCCGCGCCCACCATGCCGCTGCTGCCGCTGCTCCTGGCCACGCTGGCCTTGCTGGCCACCTCCGCGCACCCCGGGTGCCGGCCTGGCCCCGACCCAGACCCCGCGGGTAAGGTACCCCAGCCATCCCTTTCTCTGGATAGACAGGGTGCCTCCACCCACCTGGGAACTTTCTACTGTGTACAATGGACCTGTCATGGGTGGAAAATGTCCTGGGGGTGCCCGCCCTAAGCCAGTGGAGGGTCTGGGGACCCCAGGGAGAGGGCAGCACTGGGAGGTCGCTCACCAGCCAGTACATTGAGTGAGGTCGGTGGGTCACACCGAGCAGGTGCCAGGACTGCAGCAAAGAAGCATCTGACTCCCTGACCTTCCAGGAATGGGGAGGCACTGACTTTTCAAAAGCAGGCTCTTAACCCCTTCCTCCCAACTCCTACCTGTGATGTAACTACTAGTCCCAGAAGTGGTTCAGGGGATGAAGAGGTGGGGCACTCCTGGAGAGCTGGGCAGGAAGAAGGAAGGAAGCAGGGATATCACCTGACAGAGTTCTCCACAGGGTCCTCCAGTCCTGAGTTCTGTCTTGGCCCCAGTGTCCCTCCAGAAGCTGCATCTCAATGTCTACACTTGAGGGTGGGGTGCATCTAATTTTCATCCCCAGGGGTCTTAGCAGCAGTTCCTGTCTGGCTGGGGTCCCCAGGACCTTCTGAGCCCATAGTGTCAGATATAGAATCTCCAGAGATGGGGTTTGTGGTAACCTGAGTCTGCCCGCTTTAGCCAGGTGGATGTTGGGAATACAGTGCCCCTGTTCCCTGCTCTTCAGTCTGGGCTTTCCTCCCCACCTGGCCAACCCTGGTCCTCAGACCTCAATCCTCCCCAGCTGCAGATGGGACAGGGCAGGACAGTCTGGCAAACATGCCCATGTGTGTGTGTGTGTGTGTGTGTGTGTGTGTGCCTGTCCAGTGCTATTAAAACTTGCACACTGTCATGAGAGGACCCTTCCCTCTACCCCTGAGATCCCATGAATTGTCTAGAATAACAGACTAAGCCTCCCGTGGTCTGCCTTGTACCAGGAGCACTGCACCCCGTCCCCCAACCCCAGACCAAGACTGCTTCCTCACAGGGGCAAGCAAGTACTGCCCCTGACTGGGCTGAGCACCACCAGGATGTACCAGGGGATGGTTCTGGAGGGAGTACATATTTTCCTGGGGTCCAGTCTTCCTTCCTTAGGGACATGTTTTGGAGGTTTAGTAGGTGTGTCTGGGCATGGCCCAGCAGTTTCAACCCCTGC